TAATGTACTTCCCCAACACTGAATTTTGGTATTTTCCTGAATTGCTGAAACTTAGTCTTCCCCCAGTGGAAGTCCCACAGTAAATATTAGTTTTGACCAAATGATGGCATAGAGGATGACATTCGTCATATTAGAAGATGGCAAAAAGCCTTTCTCAATCCTTATCACAATGTAATATTTATGCGACATTAAGCCAAACACAAGAAAGAGAGTTAATGTTTTAAGAGGAAATTTTGTGAAATAGATCACTTGAAAATTTACAAGGATCATGAACAGATAGTGTGTGGGCTCTGACAGTTTCTAACTTGTGGATCCTGCTCTGGAGTTATATGTGCTTTCCCTTCTGTTTAATCTTTAGATATAAAATGAAGTATTACAGTTCTTTCTTGGTGTACTTACATTTCCTTTGAAAAGTAAGTCTTGATTGTTTAAGGCTGTATTAAAATAAAGTAATACGATACCTAGGCTTGGTGGTTCATGACTGTTATCTGGTATTTGGAAGGTAGAGGCAGAGGGATCTGGGCTCCAAAATAGCCTAGGCTACAAAAAGAAACCCTGTCTTAAAAAATAAAATTGAAAGAAAAGAAAATGACAGGACAATGCATTAAGAAGAAGTTATACATTTCTAGGCAGTGTTTTTTTTTTCCCCTATGTGTAATTACATGTATTGAAATGTCAGCATATAGTTAATAAATAAAAAAGAGAAAGTGAAATCTTCCCTGGCTTCTAATGCATTTGAGGTTTTCCCCCTGAAAGATTTTATTTTATTTTTAGTTTAATTCTACCACATAGGATTAAGGAAAAAGAAAAGCTTCTGATAGGGTTAATCCAGCTACATAAAAGTCCGTGCTGGGAAGATCATAATCTTGATCTTTGATTAGATCAGAAATAGTCGTATCTTGTGATTAATCAGAATGGATTGCATGTAGTATAAGCCACCTCACAGATGGATTAGAAGAGCAATGTTTTGTAAATATTTGTTTTAATCTTTTCTAGTATAAAAAAACGGCTTGTGTTTTTTAGTGTTTTACTTTACGTCAGATTAAGTTCACCCAAAAAAAGTGACAAGGAAGAAATTGTGAAGTACAAGTTTTTTGGGATCACTCACTAAAATGAAGCTTGTTTTTTAATTCATAGTACTTCAGGAAATGTCTCATTTGCTTTAAAAAGTCACATTATTAGGGGTGGACTGGGAAGGAGGGGTGAGAATTTTGAAAGGGATGACACTGATAAGGACACATTGCATTCATAAACTGCTTTGTTTAATGGAAACTCATTTGTATAATTAAAGATAACAAAGTATTTTAAAAAGTCATATTAGTTGTGAAATTTAATCAGCTATCTTATTCATATGTGCTTCACTAGAAAATTTTTTAAAGAATATATCAAAAGTAATGTGAAGATCTCTCTCATTCTTTCTCACTATTCTCTCTTTAATTGTCTCACTATTATTCTTTCTCCTTCTCTTCTTTCTTCCTCCCTCCCTCCTGGCTTCCTTGCCTCCTTCACTCTCTGTGCTGGGGATTTAATCCAGAATTTCATGCAAGTCTAGTTAAAGACTTACTCTACCACTCTCTCTACCTCCAATTCAGTGTTGAGGTTTTCATTTCTCTCGATAGAATAAGATATTTCTTAAGGTCGATAGTTCTTCTTTTGAATATGAAATTCCAGACTAATTAACATCTGATAACAAAGAGCCTTACTAAACCATCTGACACCTAACACCCAGAGCACAGCAAGAGCTCAAAGATTCACACAGGGCACAGTGTTTGTAAATGTGTCTGTCAGTTCAGGCAAGGAGCTGCTTTGATAGAAGTTGGGCTTTTTTGGTTTTGTTTTTGTTTTTCTTACCAGATTCAAGGATTGACCAACAAACGATCCCAAAATGTACAAAGCATAACTTAGGGGTGTACACCTTGCCCCTAACAAGTTTCGTGACATTAGACAAATTCATTGACATCTCAGAGATCTCTTGCCTAAAAAAATGAGAGATTGCAGTAGAGTCCTCAAGATACCATCTAGTTTGAAAAAATACATAATAATTATAATATAACTTATCACGAAAAACCCTTTCGATTTTGTGTATTGAACACACTTTAGTAGAAGTTTCAAAAACTTCCAACCCCACACTGCCCTCCTCCAGCTAGATTACTTCAGGTTCTTTTCATTGGTTGAGTGGACACCAAGGCGTTATAGGAAAAAGAAGCATTTGAACAGAAGCTTGAGTGACTATGGGGGTAAGAATCACTATGATCTGGTTTTATGTGTTATCTGCCTATATTATATGACAAGAAAATGAAGAAGCCACATTTTGAGAGGTCAAATCTTGGAGTCTTTATTAAAAGGCCACTGACTGCATAGACTCTTGTCTCAAAGATAGCAGCCAGCAAGTACACTTGGTGCTGTTAGGAAACTGAGCCATGAAAGCTAGAGAGGAAAGAAAGAACAAAAATGATACCAACAAATCAATTCAGCTCCAATGGAAAGCTGAACTGGAATGCCATGGTGACCAGAGAAGAGACAGAAGACAGGAGACAGGACACTAACACAAAGACATGTGTTATGGCATTATGGTGTCCGAGCTGGTCTGGGTCTAAATAGGGTCAGATCAGGGACAGAGTCTCAGAACTCCCAATCACAGGTATTGGAGTGACAGGGTCAGTAACCTATCAGCCAAGTCTCTGCCCCTTCCTCCAGGGATTCAGCTACTTCCCATCACCTGGGAGGGGAGTATTCACCTTCTCCCACCATGAAGACAAGACACCAGACCTTATATGAAGATACTCAAGTACCAGCAGAACTTTCCAGCTAGGGAGGCTAGTATACCCTTCCATATAGGGGTATACGTAAAGGCTACTCAGAGGCTGGTGATTCAATCCATTTAAGGAGTTACTTAAGGCAGAATCAGAACATTTTCTATGCAATGCTTTCCTAAGCTATGGCATCTGCATTTCTCTGAAGCAGAGCCCTCCTAGCTCACCTTGAGCTGGGCATCTGCATTCAATGAATGGCCTCTTACCTCTAGACTTTTTAGCACTGAGTTCAAAATTCCCTCCACCCAGCAATAGGCAGCAGGAGATTACTTAAACTCAGCCTCCTTGCTTCACCATGTATTATGCCTGCCATTTTTTAATCCCTATTTACCTACCGTTCCCCTTTCTTTTTCATTTCCAAATGTCTGATGAAAATCTTAACCACCATTCGGGAGCAGGGCCTGGACTGTTCCACACTAACTCCTGCTGAGAGTGTGGCAGTCTGGGATCCTCCAGGAAGGGTCTTTTAGGAAGATAGGATCACTGTAAAATTCCAGAGGACAGGTTCTACAGGCTCCATTTCTTTGACCATTTGCAGCTTGATGAACTCCAATCTAGAAGAAACTAACTTAACAAGCACATTGAGAATACAGGGACCAACAGAAATATTTTACTAGATGGGATCCCAGGAAAGGTAGCAATAAAGACACCAGGACGTAGAGCTTAAATGTAAAACAATATGATTGAAAAAATTATTTTATTTGTGGAAAGACCTAAATGTTTATGGATAGGTTAGAGTTTAAATGAGACTGATTTTTTTCTCTTGTTTTTAATTTTTTTGTTTTTGTCGGTCGTGGGGCCTGAACTCTGGTCCTGAGCACTGTCCCTCACCTCTTCAGCTCAAGGCTAGCACCCTACCACTTGAGCCACAGCACCAGTTCTAGCTTTTTCTGCTTATGTAGTGCTGAGGAGTCGAACCCAAGGCCGCATGCCTCTACCACTGAGCCACCTTCCCAGCCCCAACAGACAGAATTGTTTTTACTGGGTTTGCATATACAGATATATTTGTGCTAGTTTCACCACATCTTAGATCAGGCGTAGCATTATAGCACCTTGTCCAGCAACCAAAAATGTTAGTCCAAACTAACTTTGGAACTTACTGATTAAACTTATTAGTGACATTTATAAAATGATTTTTAAACATTCCAAAATTAGGTAGATAACATTTCTCTTCATGAATACTTTGTTTTTTTAATGTCATTGTACAAAGATGTTGCCATTTAAAGCAGTTTATGAATACAATGCATCTTGATCAATGTAGATAACCTATTTTTAATTAGCATTAAACCAAACTGACAGTGTCATAGAACACATCATATTAGGCGGTTACTCTTAGTCTTTGTTAGAGTAAATTAGACTTTGCCAGAAAGCCACACAGACATCCAGGTGCAAAGAACAAAGTAAAGTTTCATTGCCAGTAGAGGGACCAGCATGACCCCTTCTCACAAGAGAGAAGTGCTGCAGGTGACTTTCATAACCTCTGATTTGGGGGATTTTGCTGCCTTATATGGCTATAGCTGCCCCAAAGGATGCCCTCTTAGGTGACCCATATGACCTGTGAGGTTTAGGTGATCTTGCTGCTTTGTATCGTTATAGCTATTCCAAAGGAGTGCCATCTCAGATTAGGGGGTTGAAGCTAATCATTTTCCACCTATACTAAAATGGCTTAGGGTTGCTCAGAGAAAAAGCATGATAAGCGATGAGAGAGGAGGCTATTGGGCTAACAGTCTTAGCCACCTCAGGTCTATAGGCACCTATGGTTATACTGATGGGAAATTGAATGTGAAATAAGAGGTTGTAGCTGGTGGCTTATGCGTATAATCCTAGCTACTCAGAAGGCTGAGATCTGAGGACTGCAGTTTGAAGACACCCTGGGAAGAAAAGTACATGAGACTCTTATCTCCAGTTAACCACCAAAAGGCCAGAAGTGGAGCTGTGGCTCAAGTGGTAGAGTGTGAGGCTTAGTGAAAAAGCTAAGCAGGAGCCAGAGGCTTTGAGTTTAAGTCTAGTATGAAGGAGAGAAGGAGGGAAGGAGGGAAGGAGGGAAGTTTATGATCATATAAAAACAATTGAAAAAAGTAGAAGTGATACAATTGACTTAATAGACTGAATCAGCGCTAGATGTATTAAAATAATAATGGTTTAGTTTTTCATTTTACTTTCTTTTCTTTTCTTTTTTTTAACTAGGCAACCTGGAGATCCTCCATTAATAAAAGGCTGGCTTCCTTATTTGGGAGTGAGTCTAAAATTCCAGAAAGATCCCGTAGGATTCCTGAAAACTCTTCAAAATCAATATGGTGATATTTTCACTCTTCTCATTGCAGGTAAGAGACACTTCTGTAAGTACGTATTTAAGTATAGTTGTTCTTTAATGTCTATTCTCTTCAGACAAAATCTGTAATTTTTAATAACATTGTTGTATTTGTAGAGCTAATACAAAATACTGCCATGATTTTTAGTACAGTGATTGTCATGTTAAAATGCAGTTCTGGAATCTTCTTTTTTATTTTGACTATTTTTAATTTAAATTTTATTGTACAGGTGATGTACAGAGGGGTTACAGTTATATAAATAAGGTAATGAGTGCATTTCTTTTTGAACAGTATTATCCTCTCCCTCATTTTCTCCCATTCCCCCCCCCCCCATAGGCCTCCCCCAAGTTGCATAGTTCATTTTCAACATAGTATCTAATGAGTATCACTGTTGAATTGGTTCATTCTTTGGCCCCATTTCTGTGGTTCCCCTTCCTTTCCCCAAATCAGATAAACCTATATACAAGACAAAGGGTACTGAAATCAAATAAGTGACACCAGGGAATAAACTAAAGGAGAAAAAAGAAAAGAAAAGAAATAACTGCGAACAGTACAATACAAAAAACCCTCTTGTTTCAGTTTCTTAGAGTTCATTTCAAAAAGCATCATTTTATATGGTCATAAGCACGTAGCTGTTGAGCCATTATGAACCTCCCAAAAGTATAACCTCCTTTGTTTCTAGTGTGCAGATGCTTAGAGTACTGTGTAATTGATCATGCCCAAATGTAGTTATTTGTCTTTTACTACCCATTGGGTTAACCTGTAGACATAGTCTACTTATTATAAATGAGGGAATACATGCAGCGTGTGTTTTTTTGTTAATATAATTTTTTCCAAGTCTTTCCTTTTTCTTATGAATAAGGCAATGCCATCCTTTCTGATGGAATCATAGAATTCCATTGTGTATATATACCACATTTTCTTGATCCATTCATCCTCTGAGGGGCATCTGGATTGTTTCCTTATCTTAGCTATGGTAAATAATGCTGCAGTGTGTGAATGTGGTTGTGCTGGTGACTTCAGTGCGGACTGGTTTGTGGTCATTTGGGTAAATGCCTAGGAATGGGATTACTGGGTCATAGGGCAGCTCTATGTTTAGTCTTTTGAGGAGCTTCCACACTGCTTTTCATAGTAATGGAACAAGTTTACATTCCCATCAACAGTGTAGTAGTGTTCCCTTTTGGCTACAACTCCACCAACATGTTATTAGTTTTCTTGATAATGGCCATTCTAGCTGGGGTAAGGTTCTCATTGTTGTTTAGATTTGCATTTCTTTTATGGCCAGAGATGTTGAGCATTTCTTCATGTGTCTATTGGCCATTCTTATTTTTTCTTTGGAGAAGTCTTAAGTCTTTAGCCCACTTATTGATGGAGTTGTTGTTTCTTTGAGGATTTATTTATGGTGGGTTTAACTTTTTGAGCTCTAAGTAAATTTTAGTTAAGTCCCTTGTCTGATATATAGCTAGTAAAGATCTTTTCCCATTCTATGGGTTTTCTATTTATGTTGCTAGCTATGTTCTTTGCCTTGCAGAAACTCTTCAGTTTAATGTAGTCGCAGTTATCTAGTCTTTATTCGATTTATTGTGATTCTGGATCTTTATTTAGGAACTTTCAACCTGTGTCTAGGAGCCCTAGTGTTTCCCCTATCCCTTCTTGTAATATTTTTTGGGTATCTGGTCTTACATTGAGGTCTTTGATTCATTTGGAATTGATTCTGGTTCAGGATAATATATAAGGATCTAACTTCAGTTTTCTGGAAGTGTATAGCCAGTCTGCCAGCACCGTTTGTTGAAAAGGCTATCATTCTTCCTTCCTGTGTTTTTGGCTCCCTTATCAAAGATTGGTGGCTACAGTCTGTCTGTGGGTTCATTTCTAGGTCTTCAGTTCTATCCATTGATCCTCAGGCCTGACTTTGAGCATTAATTCTTTGGATCTCAACCTCCTGAATACTTAAAATTACAGCTGTGAGATACCATTGCCTGGCTTGGCTTTATTTTAAATTCATGATTTACAGAATTCATTATCAACAAAAAGTAGACCCGAATGTAAATAGACCCTATTATGTTATTCTTTTGTGGTTTTTTTGGGTTGTTGTTTTTAATATATTTTTTATTATAAAGATACTGTATATTTTGACTCTCTTTACCATTGAGTGTCTGGTTCCTCCATGATCTCTGAGAAGTCTTTATGCAACAATCTTTATGTATGCCTCTTTCTCAGCCCAACCACTTGTACCTTGTATCTTCTAACCATTTTTGGAACTTTTGATATATTCCTAGAGATAATGTCTTCTGCTTATGAATACTTTGCTGAGGGTCAGAAGCAAACTTTTGTTCATGTAATGAATTAATTTCAATGCTACCATTTTAACATAATGTTTGTTTTTAAAAATATGGATGACCTTATCAACAGGATTAATTCTTCCATGAAGAGATAGTATTCATTTTCTCATATCTTACTCTTTTGCCTGGCAGCTAGCAAGTCTCTTCAACAATAACTGTATATACTCTAAGTTCAGAAAATTGGAAATGGAAAAATATGTATCTTAAAAAAAAACAAATTGGATCCAGTCTTCACCTACCTCTCCACTCCCTTCTCTTCTTACTACTTGTCTTGTGTTTACCATGAAGACACCATGTTATGGAAGTTTCCTCCTCACCTACGATAGCCCTTGCATATCTAGGTTTTCTCTTTCAGTTCTTTCTGCAGTAACTATTTTACCTGACTGACTTATAATCATCTTCTTTAACCATAGTTGCATAGTACTTCTTCCTCAGAGCCTCTCTTGGCTCAATCTTTGGTGCCTCTTTTGGAGAGTCCAATTACTCTTACTATCATTGCTGTCAGTGCATTTAATACTGTGGACTTATTGCTAATTCACATTCTTATTTCATTATTCTGTGGGCTCCTCTAGTGTCAATGTTTAGTCCAGAGCTAAGCATTGATTGATTCATAATAAATGTTTTAATGGAAAATTTTTCTGATACCTTAGAGCTGTTGAAATACTATAATACAAATAAAAGACATCATTAGTTTGTCTTTTCTAAATGAACTTTTTGCTGCATAATACCAAAACAATATTCTTTATTTTAAACAATATCCATTCTCACAATATTTAATCTCATGTTTATAATGACAGTATAAAAATAATAGAATTTTTCAGCATTTCCCCTATTGATGCATTATTTAAAAAATTACACATGTTGATTCAGCAGAAACTTACAAAAGGTTTGAATAACTATTCACCTTCAGAATCAAGAAATTTCTGCTGACATTTTCCATCTTAAATTCTGAGAAGTGTGCTGAATTTTTAGTATCTAAAAAAAACTCACTATTGTATATTTATAAACTCAACAGGAGGAAACTACAACTAAGTAAGCACTATAGGTTCTGATTAGAGTTTAAGTAAACTCCTGTCAAGTAATCCTGATAATGAGCCAGGCAATGGTTGCTCATGCTACAATCCTGGCTAATCAGGAGGCTAAGATCTGAGGCTTATCATTGATTCTAAGCCAGCATGTTCAGGAGACTCTGTGAAATTTTTATCTCCAATTAACAAAAAGCTGGACATGGAGCTGTGGCTCAAGTGGTAGTTCAGGAAGGAAGGAAGGAAGGAAGGAAGGAAGGAAGGAAGGAAGGAAGGGAGGGAGGGAGGGAGGGAAGGGAAGGAAACATGCTGATTATGACACATCTTTAGATAACATGTACACAGGGTATTAAGAATAAGAAAGACAATGCTGAGCTTCACGTTTGTTTGGCAGATCCTATTTGTTACTCTGTAGGAAGGAGTGGCCACCTTATATCTCATTTCTGTGGGCTGAGCTTCAACATGAGTGTACAGAATAATATATGTGGTTGAAATGGAGATTTGGAATTGAACTCCATGTCTGTGAATGTTCATCTACATAATTTTTGTGCATATAATATTTGAATAATAAAAATATTTTCAATAGAATCCATAAAATAAAAGAAACTCTGTTAAAGGACACAATACTAATAATCAGTTTGCCAAGTAGCTCATTTTGAAAATTAAGAGCAAAGTCTTCCACTCTTGTCCCACAGTGTAACTTCAGTGACTGTACATTCTTGTATGATGAGCAAATGATTGTCATTCTCCAGAGTCTCAAGGGACATGAGTGTCATCTTAATAAAGAAATTAAAAGCTACATCTTTTCATGAGAAACCACAGAAATTCGTGACCTGTCGTAGAAAATAGTTCTCTAATTGGTTTTGTGTGGTGGTGCAGCAGCATCATTTTCCCTAGATGTCACTCTAGCAAAAGTCTACTGTACATCATTGTCAGCAACTAGTGAAATCTCCCTAATAAGAAGGGGGAGAATGTAAAGGTGCTCATTCTCTTAAAATAGAAAGTTGGCTCATATTCCACTCTCCTAACAAATCATTTCAACTTGAGAATAAAAAGAAATCTCCCAAACAACAAACACAGAGACTAAAATTTTATACTTATAGAAAAACAACTTGAAGATTAAACTCTGTCTCATATTTATTGATTGGAATTTATGTTCTGAGTAGTCAAATAGGTATCCTGGATTCTCATGGCTATATCACTGTATGACACCAAATATTAGACCTGAAAATATCAATATTCAATTTATAATGATCCAGATGTAAAATTTCTTGTATATAAAGCATCAGGTGAAAAGGTAGATTAGTCACCATATTTTGAATTATGTAGCTTTACCTTTTTAAAGGTAATTTTGAAGGAAGGGGAGTGACCATTGACTTAGTAAAGGATTATGTACAGCTTATACAAAAATGATAGAATTAAAAATAATAAGTCAGCTCCTTAATAAAGAACTGAAAGAAATAATTGGCAAGGTAGGCATTAAAAATGTAAGACCCATTTCCAATGTAAGGCAAAAGAATGATTTTCTATGGTGTTTCTACAGATATGAGCCCCATTTTGACATCTATATTTTGGACAAATGTAAACCCTGAAATTCCTTAAATGAATATTTCAAAGTAGCTTTTGACAGTGTTTTCTTCTCTCT